TTGCCAAGTTTAAGAAATGCTCCTTTAAACCAATATAATAATTAAAATGAAAATCATCTTGTCCATCACTAAAATGATCCCTTTTATCTGAGCTCCTGATTATTTTGCAAGTCATTTGGAGGATAAAGAGATACATTATTTGAAGTCATGCCCACCAGGAATTTCCATGATATATGTAGAAGCCAGCAAATAAAATGCTAAAAATCACATGAGAACAATTATTTCTGAAGCTCCCATCAAAAAGTCAACATGAGTCTTAAATGTTCTTCAAAAAAGGACACTGGCTTACCTTGTCTGATGAATGAATATCATCTTAAAATAGTTGGAAAAAGCAGCCAGGACAGCTCGATGAGCTTTGAAGTAGACATCTCCAATTGCAACTGTGCAGTCACAAAGAAAGCCGAATTCTCGCTGCATGTTGAGTTGTTGCAGGAGGATCAGGCTGTGGCTTGCTGTATCCATTGTGTTTCTAGGAGACAAAAGAAATTATCTCAAGGAACATGCTAACTTCAGGGCAGGCAACTGCAGGAAGGCCTGCAGTCTACTGCAAAACACATTACATCAGGTATCCATCTTGGCCCAGGCAATCTTTCAGAGGCCAAAGAAGAGTTAGGGTTATATTCACTGAAGCAACGAAGTAAACTGGGTGATATGGGTTTTGTACTTCCTTTTGAATGGGGAAATGTCTACGAAGAGTCTCAATCATCCAGGTCATAGTTGTCTCAAAGATTTTTTTTTTAAGGCAACTGGATTGGGATATTTTTTTTTTTTTGGGGGGGGGGGGGGGGTTTCAGGAAAAAAAAGACGTTTTGCTTTCCATCCAAGAAGCTTCATCAGTTGTACTGGATGGTGGGGAAGTCACCAGTACAATAGGTATCCTTCCATCTCCTCCACCATCCAATGCAACTGATGAAGCTTTCTGGATGAGAAGCAAGGCGTCTTTTTCTTCTTCCTCAAAAATAAATAAATAAAATAAAAAAATCAGTCCAGTTGCTTTTTCAAAACCACCTTTGAGACAACTATGACCTGGATGACTGAGAATCTTCATAGATGTTTAGCCATACATTTTGGGCTGAGCATTCTTTTGAATGGGGACACTTTTACAAATTTAAATATTGGTGAAATATTGCAGTGCTTAGTTTTCTTATTTCCTATCTACCAACATTAAGGCAGGAGGAGGGTTTTGGTTTTTTTTGTAAATTTTATTAGTTTTTAAAGACAAACATAAACAAACAAAACATAAAAACATCAAACTTTCTTCCATAAGTGTACAAGCAGTGTGCCAGTTGGTTTACAAATTTTTTGTGTGCATCCATTTCATAGTCTTCAGTTAGTTACATTGCATAATAGCTCATATTATCAATCAAAAATTGAATACCCTAGTATCATTATTAATCATTTGACAATAATTTTATTCCTTCATATTTTGCGAGATAACCATAGTTTACTTAATTTATTTTATAACAATTCATATAATCTTTCCAAATCTATCCTAAAAACATTTTGTAGGTATAATAAAAAAATAAGAAAAAATACATCTTTATATATTATTTTCTAAAGTTCTACATATTTCATTATTGTATTTTATTATCTAACCATTGATAGAAAAGGTCCCAAATTTTATAAAATTGTTTATCCTCTTGTTCTCTAATTTCAAATGTCAATCTATTCATTTCAGCACATTCCAATATTTTCTTAATGATTTCCAAGGCAGCAGGAGGTTTTGAGGACCACAATGAAGGACATTAAGAGATCAGATGAAGCCCTGGGGCCACAAATTGTCCACTTCTGCCCTAACTGGTGATGGTAGGATTTTAAGGGAGGAGATGGTCTGGGTGACATCTTTTTTCATATAATGGTGGCCATTATATATATTATATATTATTATATAATGGTGGCCATTATAGGAAGACTTAACCTGGATAACTGGGCAACAGATTTGGGTGCAACATACCATAAAAGCTAATGTTGGCTGAGCTGTCCAACAGAGGACAAAAACAAGGATGTGGGCATTCCCTTCTGGCTGAGTACATTTTTACATTTCTTTCCTTCTGTTAAGTCAGGATCTGGGAAAGAATAGGAGCCTTGTAATTTATAGCTTTTCCTGGAACTCTCCCTGCCACCATTCCTTTATTTCCTTTCCCCCATTAGGAAAACTTATATTGGAGACTGGAAAAGTTTTCCACTACTACATTTCCTCTTTCAAGATCTCTCACTGTCAGAGTAGGAAATGTAGTAGTGGAAAACTTTTCCAGTCTCCAATATAAGTTTTCCTAATGGGGGAAAGGAAATAAAGGAATGGTGGCAGGGAGAGTTCCAGGAAAAGCTATAAATTACAAGGCTCCTATTCTTTCCCAGATCCTGACTTAACAGAAGGAAAGAAATGTAAAAATGTACTCAGCCAGAAGGGAATGCCCACATCCTTGTTTTTGTCCTCTGTTGGACAGCTCAGCCAACATTAGCTTTTATGGTATGTTGCACCCAAATCTGTTGCCCAGTTATCCAGGTTAAGTCTTCCTATAATGGCCACCATTATATAATAATATATAATATATATAATGGCCACCATTATATGAAAAAAGATGTCACCCAGACCATCTCCTCCCTTAAAATCCTACCATCACCAGTTAGGGCAGAAGTGGACAATTTGTGGCCCCAGGGCTTCATCTGATCTCTTAATGTCCTTCATTGTGGTCCTCAAAACCTCCTGCTGCCTTGGAAATCATTAAGAAAATATTGGAATGTGCTGAAATGAATAGATTGACATTTGAAATTAGAGAACAAGAGGATAAACAATTTTATAAAATTTGGGACCTTTTCTATCAATGGTTAGATAATAAAATACAATAATGAAATATGTAGAACTTTAGAAAATAATATATAAAGATGTATTTTTTCTTATTTTTTTATTATACCTACAAAATGTTTTTAGGATAGATTTGGAAAGATTATATGAATTGTTATAAAATAAATTAAGTAAACTATGGTTATCTCGCAAAATATGAAGGAATAAAATTATTGTCAAATGATTAATAATGATACTAGGGTATTCAATTTTTGATTGATAATATGAGCTATTATGCAATGTAACTAACTGAAGACTATGAAATGGATGCACACAAAAAATTTGTAAACCAACTGGCACACTGCTTGTACACTTATGGAAGAAAGTTTGATGTTTTTATGTTTTGTTTGTTTATGTTTGTCTTTAAAAACTAATAAAATTTACAAAAAAAAAAAACCCTCCTCCTACCTTAATGTTGGTAGATAGGAAATAAGAAAACTAAGCACTGCAATATTTCACCAATATTTAAATTTGTAAAAGTGTCCCCATTCAAAAGAATGCTCAGCCCAAAATGTATGGCTAAACATCTATGAAGATTCTCAGTCATCCAGGTCATAGTTGTCTCAAAGGTGGTTTTGAAAAAGCAACTGGACTGATTTTTTTATTTTTTTATTTATTTTTGAGGAAGAAGAAAAAGACGCCTTGCTTCTCATCCAGGAAGCTTCATCAGTTGCATTGGATGGTGGAGGAGATGGAAGGATACCTATTGTACTGGTGACTTCCCCACCATCCAGTACAACTGATGAAGCTTCTTGGATGGAAAGCAAAACGTCTTTTTTTTCCTGAAACCCCCCCCCCCCCCCCAAAAAAAAAAAAATATCCCAATCCAGTTGCCTTAAAAAAAAAATCTTTGAGACAACTATGACCTGGATGATTGAGACTCTTCGTAGACATTTCCCCATTCAAAAGGAAGTACAAAACCCATATCACCCAGTTTACTTCGTTGCTTCAGTGAATATAACCCTAACTCTTCTTTGGCCTCTGAAAGATTGCCTGGGCCAAGATGGATACCTGATGTAATGTGTTTTGCAGTAGACTGCAGGCCTTCCTGCAGTTGCCTGCCCTGAAGTTAGCATGTTCCTTGAGATAATTTCTTTTGTCTCCTAGAAACACAATGGATACAGCAAGCCACAGCCTGATCCTCCTGCAACAACTCAACATGCAGCGAGAATTCGGCTTTCTTTGTGACTGCACAGTTGCAATTGGAGATGTCTACTTCAAAGCTCATCGAGCTGTCCTGGCTGCTTTTTCCAACTATTTTAAGATGATATTCATTCATCAGACAAGGTAAGCCAGTGTCCTTTTTTGAAGAACATTTAAGACTCATGTTGACTTTTTGATGGGAGCTTCAGAAATAATTGTTCTCATGTGATTTTTAGCATTTTATTTGCTGGCTTCTACATATATCATGGAAATTCCTGGTGGGTATGACTTCAAATAATGTATCTCTTTATCCTCCAAATGACTTGCAAAATAATCAGGAGCTCAGATAAAAGGGATCATTTTAGTGATGGACAAGATTATTTTCATTTTAATTATTATATTGGTTTAAAGGAGCATTTCTTAAACTTGGCAA